GACTAGCTATTTGACAGATTTAGCCCTTTACCATACAAAATTTGTTCTAGAACATAAAATGCTTTTGCCTTCTCCTTTTGGTTACTCAGGGATCAATTTGCTGTTTATAAACACGGGTCAGATGTAGTTCTTTGGTCAAAACAAGAACTGGAGATACACATCGGCTATTAAAACTGGCAAGATAAGATTCTAGGGGGGGGGATCATATCCTCGTCAATGAGGTTGGTGCGTGGTGGAGACCCAATGCCCATCTCTAGACAACTGGACATACCTTGCAGAGGGGTAGAGGGGAGATGAGCCACTTAGGGTACAGTATAGCAATAATGAAACCCACAACCTTCCTCTAGTTCTTAAAACGCTTCCTCCCCCCAACTACCAGGACCCCAATTCTGCCTTGCAGACCTGGTTAGGCCAGAGGATGTATAGCGGTACAGATGGGAATTGGAAACGCAGGGAATCTAGGACAGATGAACCTCTCAGGACAAGGGGTGACAGTGGCGAAACTAGGAGGGAAGGGGGGTATAGAAAGGGGGAATTGATCACAGGGAGCTATAGATAACCTCCTCTCTGGGGGACGGGCAGCAGAGGGGTGGGTGAAGGGAGACGCCGAGCAGTGTAATATATGATACAATAATAATTTATAAATTATCAAGGGTACATGGGGGAGAGGGGAGGAGGAAGGGAGGGGGAGGGGGAAAAAGGAAAATGAGCTGATTCCGGGAACCCAAGAGGAAAGCGAATTTTGGGAATAATGAGGGCAACAAATATATAGATGTGCTTTACACAATTGATCTATGTATTGTGATGAATTGTATGAGCCTCAATAAATTGATTTTAAAAAAAGGTAAAAAAAAAGATAAGATTCTAAAAAAATGCAAGTGAAGTAGTATTAACATTTTGGGGGAAATGCTGAATTGCAGATCCTGTATGGAGGCTACCCTTTCCTCATTCAAAGGGGAAACTGAGGTGTTTTCAGATTTTTGCATCTCACCCAGAGAACCTAAGTGAATGACTGCTCTGATCACTCCAGGGTTAAAGTGCACCATGCTGCACAGGGAGTCCCTGGGTGACACCAACCATCAATGTGCTCAACTGCCAAGTGCTTGAAAGGCTGGTCATCTGAGTCTACCTAGACGCACCTCGACTCCCAACATGTTAGCCATTGAAAACCCCATAAAACACAGTTTTACTCTGTCTGATACACTTGGTGGCCTTAAGTCAGAGCTGACTTGATGGGAGCTTCACAAATTTTTTAAAAAATTACATACACTCTCTCTTCTCATGATCTTAAGGTAACTGTTTCACAGCAGGTTACGCTGAGTACAACCTACAATACTCCCTCTCCCCACAAATCTACCACCTGACCGGCAACCAAGAGAAGGTTCCCGAGAGCGCGGAGTCCTGGAAGGTGAAGAAGCACGGATGACTAGAGAGGGCTGGGCAGAACAGTGCCTCACACTGTGAAAGCCCTCACAGGGCAAGGCTCAGTGGCAAGGAAGGAAGCACTGTAGGAGCTTCTCCTTGAACCCTGGTTACTGGGCAAATGCAATGGTTGCCATACATTCAACTTGAGCTTGATTCAGCTGACCAAGCTGAATTAACCAACACTTGACTTCTTAAAGCCATCAACTTCACATCAGTGCACAGAACACGACAGTACTACCGCTGTGCACACAGGGGAATGGGAAAATTATGTAGTAAACCAGAGCTACAAGCAATATGTGTGAGCTGATGACCACTTTGAAATATCAGTCTTACACAGCTTGGGTTAGTTCAATATAGCGCTCAGCTTTTGAAACTTCAGAACACAAACCCATGTGAGAATTTTCTGCATAGGCTACGTCTACATATTTAAACGGAAGCCTAGATTTATTATCCAACATTTATCTAGTATCTTAGAGTTCTGTTCTAGACAAAGGAAAACAGATGTACTTCAACAATCTTCAAACCACTTGCCATCTACTTTGAATTGTAGGCTTCGTACATCCTGAAGTAGACGGGAATGGACTAAGGAACAATACGCAATTTTACTAAGGCACCGAAAGCCACACCTGAGAGGATGTGCTATGCACCAAATGAGGGGAATGACAACGGTCTCGACAAGAGATTCAAGGAAAAGTCTTAGCCGAGGATTGGACTGCAGCTTCATGGGAAAGCAAAGGGTTGGAGAAGATGGACTCTCAAGCTCCTGGTCGCTCTATGCAAAAACTGACAGAAAAAGGCAGAAGCAGGGAGGGTGGGTCACACTGAGAACTTGAGCCAGGCCATACAAGGCACATGGAGTGGAGGAAGCATTCCGGGCAAGCGGAATAGCAGGAGAAATGGCAGACCAGTCCCCAGGCTTCTTTCCTTCATTGTACATGACTTTAATTAAGAGTCAAGAGCAACACTCTTCAGTTGTTGTTGTTATTGTTGTTTTGGGGGTGGGTGGGGGGTGGGGGGGAGTCAGATGTCCACTGCTATTTAAGAATCTGGCTCAAGATGATCTGTTCAAATGACTGAACCAGTCTTCGCTTATGTGAGCTACCTGTTAAAACACGTAGAGTAACTTCCTTTTCCACCAAGACACAGAAAAGAAGACACACTCCCCCCTTCCCCACCTTCTCGAGTTCTGCTCTCTCAGGAGCCTTCTTTTGGTCACCAGTCAAGTGATGGGCATGCACTAGAAAGACAATTGTGCATGCCAATACATGTTTGAAAATTTATCACCAAAATTTTCACCTAAGAGGACTATGGGAAGAAAAGCTAAATTCTGGTGGCTCTTGCTATATCATTTAAAATAATACCATCACCACCACCCCCATAACCACCAACAATCATTAAAATTATAGCAAACGTTCTCTTAAATTTCCACTGCTTAGACCCCACCCCCACTGCCTCAAATAGGATTATGAATCTTGCCAAGAAGTCAGAACTTGCAGCTCGAAAATGACTTTTCTGACTCAGTATTGAAAAAAAAATTCTTAAGTGCAGCTTAGGGGGAAAAACAGCTGGAGAATTCAGGAGCCACCCAGATTTTAATATGAAGTGACGTCATAGCGGACAAGGCTTCCAAGCACTCCAATTGTGTGGGTATGCAACATCTCCGAGCACACTGAGGACTCTGGGAAGGTGGCGTGTGCCTCTTTGGTAGACAGATTCAGTGCTGGGATCCTTTTTAATTTTCTCTTAGAAATGTTATTAGTCTGACTTCCAAAGCTAAGACTAGGGATTTTCTTTTTCTGTACACCCTCAATCAGGACTCTCCATTATAGGGCATGTAGAAAAGAACTGCTCTCTCCTGTTATGTGTTTAATTGCAGATCCTATGGGGTTTTTTAGCAATATAGTTACTTTTGGAATTTTAAGTCAGAAAAGTCATGCTTTTATAAAAAGTATTCAAGATAGCTAAGCTTCATAATGCTGTATGTAGGGAAAAACTGATAGGATATCTTGTGTCACTTTAGTCAAAGGCTGTTGTAAAAGTTGATCTCATTCAAGTGGTTCATCACTAATCTACCCAGGGTTACACATGTTTGAGATCAACTAGTTGACCAAAATCAGCTGGAGTTTCCATGGAGCCTTCAACCTTACTGTTCTGCAGAGAGGAAACTTAAGGTCCACCTGTGACTTCTATACACTCTTTATGGTGGCTTGTTTTACGTCACACACACAAGATTCATGATCAACTGCACTGCCTGGTTTACTCAGTCATGCCTGCGCTTCCCCACCTGGTCACCCCTCGTTCCCTTTGTCATTTGCTGCACCTTCTTCCATGGATCCTGCACAGTCACAGAACTTTAATTCCGTTTCCTCCTGCTGCACACAACACACAGTGTGCCCGCAAATGGAGCTTACTTACATGTATTTGGTAATATCCTTACTTCTCGAACACAGAGATACACATTAGCTCAGGTTATTTTTATGGTCATCTCTAGAAGTTTGGATTTGAGTTAAGCTCATGTTTAAAAAGCAAAAGAAAAACCATTAAAATAATTCCCCAGGATCAGAGACAAGGTTTGAAGTTCACTGAGCAATGTCTGAGTAAGTATTTCTACAGCCAGATTAAGTTTTTAAGCAACTGCTAAAAAATTAATGAGGTTTAATGTGACCTATTTAGGAGAAACAGTTCTTTGTTGTGTTCTATTAGAAGGCTAATCTGCCTATGGAAAAGAAAAACAAAAGCGTCTCTCTCCTTACCCTTTTGTCACGGGATCTATCTGCCTACAAAAGTAAAGGTAAAATACTATGAGGAAGAAAAAACATTATGTGGGTGAACAGTATACAGTGTTATCGGAGGGAGCTTCACACTAACCCTTATTAAAGACAAGCTCAGCTGAAAAACTGGGGGCTAGTCCTGTCTGGCCCCCTGCCGCCATAGATGTTACAGTAGTTGTGGATGGGGAGATGCTGATGTGGTTTTGACCTGAGCTCACCAGGTCACTGGGCCCCGCATCCTCCTACAGTGATTCCCACAGGAGGGGAGGTTCCTCTCAGCTGCAAAACCCTGAGGTGGCCTCCAAAGGACACCACTATGGACCACGTAGAGGCTGGGGGGGGGGAGAACGCTACATGACTGCTAGGGTGGCCTGACCACTCCCAATGGGCCACAAAAGCTGATCTCAGAATTTCTGGCACATTCTAAAATGTGGCTGAACAGTAATTTGGAAGCCTAAACTCTGACTTTAGGAATTCATAAGAACCACGATGTTTTACAAACTCTACAGAAAGTAAAATAAACAAATATGCTCCCTCTTGCTATTTTTATGGCAGCTTTTCAAACCGTTTAAAATGGTTGGCCCTCTCAAGAAATACTGGATTGGGGGTAGGAGGAAGAAAACAATGACTTATAGTGACCGGCATACATTGTAATTCGTCACAGAGGAGCAGCAGCTAATTAGAAGGAAGCGCTGGTGAGGGAGCACAGGTGGCGTTCATGCTGGCCCTGAAGACTCTGCTCTCTCCTTCCAACCTTCTCGTGGAGGAGGGAACAGCAATAAAAACAAGGATGTTTATATTTACCCAGAAGTGTGCGTGGCAATTGACCATCATGGTTCTCTCAATGAGCTCATCAGGACATTCCAGAAGGTGGTGTCCAGAGACCACACCGGCATTATTGACCAGGACCGAGACTTCGCCAACTTCCTTGCGGACCCTTTCGGCCGTCAGGTAGACATTCTCTCTCTTCCCCACATCGCAGGTGTAGGTAAACACCTGCAAGTTACAGTGGGGCAGGATCTCTTCCTCGCCATTTCCAGCTGTTCTCAGAGAGGGGAGAAGTGGAACAGAGAAAGGGGTGCAGACAGTAAGTGCCGCCACAATCAGAGGACAAAGACCACAAGAAACAAAAACACTACAGTGCGCTTCAAATTTCTAACACCGTTAGGCTTGCCAATAACTGCGCTTACAGCTGCCTCCCTCTCCTAAAGGTCTTGGGGAATTACAGCAATTTACCGGACAGCTTTGCTTAGGGGAAAGTGTGTAATATTGACAAGCCCAAGTTAGTCAGACCACATGGGACCAGCTTCCTGGAGCTACAGACACCTGGGAAGTACTAGTCTCAGCCCAGAGAATAGGCCCCTTTCCCAAACATACCCACCACGCTCCTTTTGGGGAAGAAAAAAAAAGGGGGGGGGGGGGGGGGGGAGACGCGAAGGACAGCGTGGCCCAGGGCTCTCACTGAATATAAGCACCATCCATCCAGATGAAGCTCACATAGTGGCTCAGAAATCAAAACTCTAATTAATAGCCTGAATTCACCCACGGCCAAGAAATAAATTTAAAGTTGCTCAGGAAAACACACACACACACACACACACACACACACACTCCAACCCCCACCCCACCTACACCCACCTGCAGTTTCTACCTTCTGAGTTTTCTAACCTAATGCAGCTGCCAATAATTGGATTGACAAATGACTGCTATGGGGCAAAGGTGGTGCTTCAATTCTCAGCATAGCAGTCCTTCCCTTGAACAAGTTTATTGAAAGGTAAGGGTCACAAGTTTCCTGGATCGATATGCACATGTGTTATTTGCTTGGCTCTCCCCATTTAAATAAAAATTTCAGATCCAGTTTAGCTAATAAGCATACATTTCCTGGGGTTACCAAAAACATGGAGGAGCTTCACAAAAAGGCTTCAATCCTTCAAGTACCTTGAGAGACAACGTATCTTTTCAATCAGGCACAGAGTATAACTAAAGCACTCAGTTATCGCTAGTGAAACAATGTTAATTCTTTTCCAGTGGCTAAAGTTATAGTGAAATCATCAATTTTGTCCTACTCTAAACGGTTCAGACTACAGAACCACACTTGTCCGGTACAGTCTTCCACCAACTTCCCAGACACTGCAGTGTCCCATGGCAAACGCGAGGGAGGAATCTTGAGGATCCAAACCTGGGGTTACAAATGCTCTCGGGTTCCTGGTGGGCTTGGGAAACCCCACGGACGTCCCGAAAAGAGACTCGGCCTCAGTCAGATACGGCTTTGGCACGCTTTCTGCCTGCTCACTATCTGTGCCTTTATTAGGGGGCAAATTCCACTTGCTTTTCAGAAGATCGATGGGCTCTTTTCCTCGAGAGCGGGGCTGACCGTGACAGTGTAGCTTCGCGCCCTACCCCACTCCCATCCCCCCAATGCGGGACGCGGGGAACAGAGGGGCGGTTTGACCCAACAATGCTGGGCGCGCGCCCGACTTACCTTGCAGCGCGGCGGCGTCGGCAGCCTCCAGGTCGCGGTAGATGTGGCGCACCATGCCCGCCGTCTCCTCGTTGCTCTGCGTGTTGATGTCCCAGAGCACCAGCAGCGCCCGGCGCCGGGCGAACTCGAGCGCGAAGAGGCGGCCCAGGCCGCTGCCGGCGCCGGTGATGAGG